TCGACTCCAACACACCTCCCTGTAAATTTTGTCCATAATAATGGACAAAATTTTTGAAACAACCTAATAACTCAAAACACAATAAAGTCTTTTAAAAAGTTTGATTTGAAATCACTGTAGGTCATCTTTTCAATTTGAATGAAATTGAAAGCATATAACACATTTTCGTAATTAGACACTATCAAGCAATAGTTTACAACAGCGATGCCTAGTCTTCAATTGCCCAACTCTCGACTGGGGTCCTGAATTTTACTGAGTACCTTGTATTCGTATTCGATGTCGTTTAAATCAAAGGAAAAAATTTGTCTACCATCTATAGGACTAGAATCAACCTCCTTTATATAATGAATTTCAATAATGCTCACCAATTAATGTACTTGTGAAAAAAAATAAGGAGACAAAATATTATTTTTCTAGATTAGTTAATGACAGTGAAGACAACCTTGGTCTTGTATATGCATATATTGAAATAACACCGTTACCATACCCATATTTCACAATGAATTGACCGTCGTCTTGAACTTGAATAAATGATGAGATGAATGAAACGAAATTATTCCCATGAATAAACTTATCATGAAACGAGAGTAATTTCAATTTCAATTTCGCAGCTTATTATAGTCAAATAGGTACATATGAGAGTAAAAATCTTAAGCTTGAAAAAATAATACGGAAAATACAAGAAATAATTAATACTACCTCTACTTCATTTATTGAAGAACGCAAACATCTTCCATTCAGTTCAAATAAAATATTCTTTTTGAACAATCTATGTCTTATAATTGCAGAAGATCATTGTTGATATACATAAAGTTCGCGACATATGGAAGTTTCTTTTATTAATAGATATAATGAAAATTAGATTTCGCAGTTAGTTTGTGCTTAAAAAATGAGTGGAATACAGCCTCTTCCTTTTTGTCGTGTACTTCTCTAAACCTGTCAAATTTGACATTTTTTCCAAAATTTCTAAAAAATCGGATTTCTGTGTAAATTTCGAAAAATTCTAAAAACGCAGTATGATTGATATTTCATAATATTGATAAATATGAGATGAATATCTTGCCCATGAAAATACCGGAACTGGCCTATTACCCGAAAAATAAATGAAAACACCCCCAGAAATTCGTCTTTTTTGCTGTAAAGTTCATCTAGTTTTTTCATTTCATTGTTAAACAGTTTAACAATGAAATAAAAAAAACTAGATGAACTTTGCAACAACAAAGACGAATTTCTGGAGGTATAATTATTTCTTATTCTGGTAACAGGCTAATGCAGGTATTTTACGGACAAGATATGACATTGAATTATCTTATTCATCAAAATTATGAAATTTTTATCATAATGCGTTCGAATCGATGGAGTGGAAGACTTGAAAAATTTAAAAAAAAAATGGAAAAAAGTCGACGTGATAATAGGGAGTCCAAATTCCGAGCATGTATATAAAATTGAAAATTGAGGAACTATTTCCCCCAGCATTTTTCGGAATATTCAAAAAACTTGATTTTTTGAGGATTTTCGGAAAAAGTGTCAAATTTGATAGCACATAAGGAAAGATGTTGTTTCATACTCAATTTTCAAGCACAAACTAACTGCGAAGTCAAATTTTCATAACCCCAATATCTGACGAAAAAAATGTACCTCAGAAATAATATGTATATGTGAGTTTTTTCTGCATTTGAAAGCTTTAATATGAATAATTTTGTTAACACTGCTCAAGTTTCTATATTGACTTCATTGAGTTTCAATATGATGGAATGTTCGTACAGCCTAAATATAAAAAAGAAGTTGGAGATTCCAGAAACAGTCTATATTCTAGTTAACTTGACGTTTCATATGTCAAATGACGTTACGGCATGTTGTTCAGGTACGATAAATAACAAATTTTTTGGTGGATGATGACTTGAACACGCACCATGGTAACTATGAAGCTTGAATAGGAGAAAAAAATCATGTGTCTACCTGCACAAAGTCATTAATTGTTTATCCTGAATTCTGCACAGATATTTTTTGAGTCATTTTATCCGTGAATATTTTAATTGTGCTGTCTATTGAAATATGATTGAACGTAATTCTTCAGCTGTCCAAAGACTTGATTACTCTGCTAAGCATTGTGATAGCTATCACTGATGTGATAGCTAATGGCATGTGATTAGCATGTTCAAGATTTCATTTAGAATTTGGTATTCATACCGAACTGCCTTCCCATTGAATTTATGGATAAAGAAAGGTAGAATATATAACCCCAAATCAGATAAGATCTATTCAATCATCCCTAATGCTCCATTAAATACCTACTATGATACAGAGGATGAGGAACCTGTGGGTACCAAGATGATAAAAAAACATAAATAGATGCTCTGAACGAATAAAAATGCAGAATATTTTTAGACTATGAATAACAAATATATTAGCGAAAATATTAGAACCGACAGTAATCTTCGTAGTGTTTCAAAAATTTTCAGAGAACTGATATGAGATGTTTCTTTCCCACTTGGGACTTTGTTCACGAGAGAACCGATTATGAATTGAGAATGCAAAATACCTGAAAATGAGATCGAGGAAACTCCGCTAAGAGAAAATGAACAACCGCTATCAATATTCATAAAATAATGACTATTAATTGAGAAATTTATTGGATTCGGTATACAGGAAAACAATCGTTGATCAGAAATACCTATTTGTTTGACTAATGATTTCTATAAATTATGAAAATTTCATTAGATTGAAAAGTCAACAAAATGTACTTTTTTCTGTGGAAACCAACCTCTCAATTGCTGCCATTTATAAAAAAGTGGTGTCACCAAAACAGAAAACGTGGTGTCGACACCACTGAACTTACCACAAATAAAACCATGTTTATTTTTTTCAGAGAATCACTAGGACACCACAACTGAGTGTAAAAATCATCTATAAAATCAGTATTGAAAATATAATTGAATCGAGTCCAAAATATATTTCACATTGAAAGCAATCAATAGTATTCAACACTATCCATGATAATAATCAAACAATTTTCACAAACATTTTTATTTCTAGACGCGTTTCGCTAACACTGTAGCTGCCTTGGTAGTAATTAGGAAGGACAACTTCCCTTACGAATTTTTTACCTACAATATGGGATCGACAGAAAACTCAATCCACGATTTTGAAAGAGGAACACGTTAAATACGTTAAGGATTTTCATCAAGTGTCTGCCAATTCCATCACATAAATTGTCTATATTTGATATTCATCGGGCAATGAAGTACAAAACATTGTTTTTTTTAATTTTTGGTAATAAAAATGGATCAATGTGATATTTGAAAAAAATGTTTGTCCATATTTTATCTACAAAGAATCTATTCTGCCGATTCTTCAAAACTGACAATATTCAAATTGTAAACGATTATCACAAAATTCCTAAAATATCGCCATTCCTTTTTATCTATAATTATTATCTTTTATGAATGTTGACTCTGAAAGATTGCCAGTCGTGGCAAGTGTGAAAAGGATATTGAAATATTTTAACAGCGCATAGCAAATGATTAACTACAATGACTTTGAAAACGTTACCAGATAATTATTCAATATTTGCCTAACGAATTACGTTTCTGAGAAACTTCAAGACACGTAAATTAGATAAATGAAACTCAATAGGTAAAATAGAAAGTAGCCAAACGGACACAACATACCTAAAAATACAAATGTGCAAAGTCATTGTGAAATGTGGTTTTTCGCAAATAATTCACATCTACTATATTAAAGGGGATTTACCGTGGGAATTTTGGATGTTAATTACAGAAAAAATCGAATCAACAATTGAAACTTTCATTTATAACTAGGAAGTAATTCGGAAAATTTCAAAAACCTACTTTCGAACGTAGAATATTCCACAAATCAACTTGTATTTCACTCTTCTCTATCAATACAGAACCTCTAAAAAATCAAACAAATAAAGATTACCAGTGTGTCATCATCTATGTTATCGAACTAACATTTAACAATTTTTTTCACGACTATATGGGACAATTTTTTGGAAATTGATTTTCAATGATGAATGAGGCCTTCAAAATTCTTGGTGATATTGATTGAGTTGACATAACAAGTTGACATAACAAGTCTACTTATCCGGCGCAATTCCATAAAAGTTTTTTTTGGCGCAGTCAATAGTATTTTTCCAATATAATGTTATATTTTCAAACCAATTTTTCCTTCATGAATTTTTTCGCAGAAACATCCATAACAAATATTCACACTAGGCAATACGCCGATGCTGAGCCCTTCTGACGTCACTTTTATTTTGAATTTCAATCGTTCCTATCCTTTTATAATTTGTTGCATTCGGGTACTGGGGCACTTCAACAGGATTGACATCTGACCTGCTTCTGCTTCCACTCTCGTTATCTGTTGATTTTTGTTTGTCGTGACTTTACTATATGTAAATAATTATTCGATATCATTCTATTTATTCGGGAGAATTACGCAGTAGGTGACATCTAGGTTTAATAATTCAAATGTCAAAAGAAACTGTAGACACAAACATTTAAATATTCGTTGTTATTTCCGTCCATTGTGATATTATTTAAGAGAAATGAGAAAGTCAAGAAGGTGACTTTTTCTTCAAAAACACAAATATCGATGGTATCTTTGATGAATGCATTTCATAGCAATAGTTTGCATATTAACATTATTTGGCAGGTTTTGAGTTATTTTGGAGAACAGAAAATTTTCGAAATTCTACACAAATTCTCTTTTCGATTGAAACTCAATTTTTGTTCAAAACTAAACACTCAAAACTAGTCAAAGTTCTAAAACTTATAAAAAGTTTATGGATTGAGTGAATTGATAACGATTCTTTTCAGTTGAGATGATAATTGGGGGGTGATTTTCACATTTTTTTGCCACCGACAAAAATAGAGATCAGTATTATATTCTACACAACTCGTATAGTTCTAAAACCAGGGACTTTCTTAGAAACACCAAACTAGTGAAAACGTGTTCAGTTCAAGAAAAACACTTACAAAGGGGGTTGAACTGTAATGTTTCCATCGGGTGAACTGGGAGAGTCAGCCTGTTCGGTGAGATGTCTCCTGGTGGACGGCATAGACTTTGCAATGGATGGATTGTAAATTTTGGGATCGCTGACCATTCTCACGAAAAAACTGCGTTTGTGTGCCAGGGTTTCCTTTTTCTTCCTTTCCAATAGTTCAAATACCTTATCATGCAATTCCTAAAACAAATTTGGCAAATAAGATATTTGTGTTCATATATCAAAAAAAAAATCTTCACATACAAAATATTTCCGTTCATGAATCCAATAAAATAATCTCCACCAACAATTTTGTCCTGGAAGTCTACTGAGTTCTTTAAAATATTCACGTCTCTCCTGACATATGTGACATAGCAAATAGGGTCAGAATTATTTTTAAGGTACTCCTCTTTACTTACATTAGCAACTCGTGTTTCGCCATACAATGACTTCTTCGGGCGTATTCAGAAAAGCCCGTTGTTGTAAAACTGTTCAGTAAAAATCTCACAATGAAGTGTTTTTCAAATACGTTTCGAATTTTCATCAAGTATCGGCCATTTCCATCATATAAAAATTAAGGAGAAACCATATGTAACTGTAACTTGGTATAATTATATTAATTATGTTAATGCTATTTTGGAGCGATGAAGTCATCATGAAATCCATTTTGAATTAGCTCTAACTAAACTAGCCAATAGGATCTTATTCAATTCAATATTCAAACTATATTTCGCATATGGGTGTGAATATTTTTATTAAAACTCTTGTAATTGTAGTATATGCTATACCAGATAAAAGTATTACCCATCACCATGAAATCAACGTCTTTATCAATATGATTGAATTTTCTGTGGATGTTTCACTCAGTACAATAAATGAAATAGTTCAATTTCACTTTCGCATAAATTAATACGAATATTTCACAAAACACATGATTTTTCAATTATTTAAATCGTGTTTGAACACTATTTGTTAGAATATATAATACTTGACAAATAACCGCACAAAACAGTCCGATCGCATTTTCTTTATAACTTTATATTTGACGATTCTACATCATTTCATGCCATGTTTTGAGGTTGACATTTTCCACAACCTTGTTTCGAAAATATCGGATTCTTCATTCTTCATTCGTTTCGAGGTGGTAGGTCATGTAAGACATCAGTATATATGTGTGAACGACCTTCGAGGTGAAATGTGAATAGTATATAACAGATCGTTCAGAACATGTTCACCATTGGGGTTGATTGAACTACTTTTCATCATTTTCCTTGAAGTTTGCTAATATCATGAACCTCATTTCCATCCCACCATTCAATTGATAATGTTTCCATCAGATTCTCCGAGTGACATTCAACAACTTCCCCATCAATTATTTTGTCAAACATGAAATCAACAAGTATCAGAAACACTGAATGGGTATATACAGCCTGCATTCTTGTGTTGAGAGCTCGCTTATGTCAACAAAAAGAGTTACAGCAAATTATCCTACTCTTATTGCTTTTTTTATTGAGAGTGAAATGGTTCGATATGGTTTTCTTTATTTTCAATAACCTTATCATCTTTTTCTGTCCATCAAGGACAGTCGAGTGATGCATTCGTGGTTCAGCCTAGCACTGTCTGGTACTGGATCACGAATACTTTGTCTTTGGGCTCTGGTTTCATCCAGCTACCTTGCAGTCAAAACAGAGGGCGTATCTCGTAGATGTTCGATATCGAAGGTCAGTTCTGCAACGAACCGCCTTTTGGAACCTCATTTACTTATGATATTCTTGGATTGAGTCCTCTGGTCGATCCTACAGATGGTGTCTTCATAAGGGAAGCTGTCATCTTCATTACTTAATCGGATTCCAACTTCTTGCCTCGATTCGAGAATACTTCTAGAGATACTCTATACTGATAATAATTTGACAACATTAAATGGAACTGGCCGATACTAATGAAAATTTATATGAAAACTTACTATCATAGTTCAGTGTATAGCAAAACACATGTCGTAGGTTTGGAAACCTTTCGTAGTGAAAATTTCATAGTAAGTATTAGAATTATCAAGTCGTTGACAGGTACCCTTTCGCCACAGTTGGGCAATTCCAACCGCCTTCGCCAAATATTTCTTAAATTCCTCTGCGATTGCAGAGATAATGACTATAATTCTTAATCATCTTTAGATGCTTCAAATTCGAGTGTGTATATGCATTTTTCAATATATGGTGAAATTCACATGTTTTTCGAAAGTGATTCCTAAACAGTGATCTAGTGGATGAAGTTTTAGGAGGCATCTACGGACTTGTTCAAGGTGCTGACTACAGTATTTGCTCGTCAACATGAATATTTGCTGAAATTCCTACAGTCTCTTATCAGAGTGCCAATATAAGTGCCGTTGCATTTTTTCTGTTCAAACCAATAGTAGAACTGTTTACGATAAACACACCACGTCTCCTAATCAAAGGTGAGCGGCTTCTGATTACTTCGCTGTTGAAGAGCTAGAAGCTCGTTCTGGTTTGCAATTTCCTAAGGTGTCTGAATTTTCTCTCCAAACTCTGGAACCACTTTTTTCACTGAATTATTTGGGCAGTTATTTCCTTTACCTTCTTTGACTGTGTTTAGGACGTCTCAGTTCTCTAACCATCTCCAAAAGTATTGCAAAATACGTGGTTTTCCTCTTTCGAAAACCATTTCAAATCTGTTAACATCCTGCATTCTGCCTATTTGCTCTTAAGCTTGAAAAATTCCTGGATTTTCCATCTTATTATCTTTGCTGTTTTTCTCGACTGACCTGCCCTATCTTCAACTTTTTCCTAGTTTCCTCCAATTTGTCATGATATATAGTTATTCCTCGTACCGGAGTGTTCGCAAGGAAAGCCAAGGAAATTATTTTATTATTGATTGTAATGAATGAATGTGAATCATCTGGACAGTTATGTTTTTTGAAGTTTTTCTTTTTTATATCCCCTAATGAACGAACACTCTTGAACACTTGAAACAGTAAAAAACGATCATTCTTAACAATAACTATTACAATTTATTGCAAGACTTGACTATCAGAGTTTCACAAAAACCGGGACATAAGTTTCGCTATACAATATCTTCATCAGACGTGTTTGATAAAAACATGCTTTGTATAGTAAAACGCGGAAATGTTCTCCATTGAGTAAGCTCAAAGCGAAACACGTGTCGCGGTTTTTGTAAAACTCTTACAGTGGAAAATTCGAAATAAATTGTATCAGTTATTTATTGCCAATATGGATTTTCATCTATATAATTGTTTTAAGAATTTTGCATAGTGATTTTTCAAAACAGAATTGATTTGTGATGGTAGAAAATATGAATTCCCAGTTTCAGCCCTATTCAAAAATATTTGAACTAGTTCATTAGTGAATGATTTACGATATTTTACTCTAAAAGAAAGAAGATGACTATCTCTTCAATTTTTAACAAAAAATTCACTCAATTGTGAACAGCTGAAAAAATCCATTAACTGTTGGAGACAATTGTTATTCAATTGTTTTTTAATGATGGAAATGCACTCTGACAACTCAATATTTTTCTCTATGTTGAAGCTTGCTGCTAAAAATATTTTTGATGATTTATGCATCATAAATAAACCTGCTGACTTCATTGTTTATCATATTCAATTTTTTATAGTGATTAATGGCAACCGTTTATTTTATCAATAGGACGTTTTTCGAGCAAGCAAAAAAATATTTAATCAAAGTCATTTTGGGAAAAATATTAGATCATTCAAATGAGGAAGTTCAAACAAACAGGTTCAACATTACATAATAAAAACGTGTGAATTTAAAAATGTCAGTTGCCAACTTACAAGATGGATATTATTCGTTCATAATTTCTGAACTATCCCTGATTCATACTATTTTGTTCACACTAGTTATTATTGATCTAAAATATGTGCTGTTTATTGAAGTTATCGCATTAACGGGCTACAGAATTCACAATGTATTCAGAATAAACCAAACTATATTGAGTGAAATAGGTACATTTTGGAAACTGTTATAGTCACAGACGAAGTTCAAAGCTAGAATTGCAAATTTTGGGGCATGTTACTATGAAACTGAATAATACATGTTTGTTCTTCCTATGAACAAAATGAACGATTCCGTTTTTTACTATTTTACTTTTGGATAGATATTCGAAAACTGTATGCACATTGTCATCACAACTTTTTTTGAGCTTCAGAATAAGCTGATGTAATGTTAAATAGTACATTGAACTCTTTGTACCACCTGATTTTTGAATTTCCAAAGTTAGAGTTTCACTTTTTATAGAATGATGATTTCTGAAATTTCGATAATATTCAGTTCTCATCAAACTATACACATTGAAAATATTCTAATATAATTTTTTGTGTAAATATTGACTGACTCTCAACCACATTTTGATATTTCCATCATATTGGTAGACTTTCATATCATCAACAAATTCAAAAGAGTTTTCGAATCTTTTAATCACCACAATGAAAAACTTAATTATTTGTACGCCAGGTGTGGTGAGCACAAGAGAATAAACCAGCAAATTTTGAACAGCAGAACATGTTTGGAATCTCAATATAACATTAAGTGGTACAAAGCAGAAATCATCCACAGGGAGGAATACTGGTTTGAGATAAAGTACAAAAAAGCTGACTACTACACTTCGACCAATAACGCATTCGAGTAGGCTGGTAGAGATATGCAACATATGAAAACTTCCAATCAAATAAAAAATAGTCTTAGTTTGGACTCACTTGGTGTTAGAAATTATAGGGGTTAAAACCCTAACACTTGGTTTGACATTTTTTTTTCCTTATTTTTCATTTTTTCATCATACATCCACATTATTTAATTTCTCATTTCAGGTTTCTAGTTTGTATATGATTGATATTTCACTTTATATATATTTCAACTCATTTATCAATAAATAATGTTCAAATTGTCGGCCCTCATGAACAACAACAAAAACAAATATCTCTTAAAATTAAAAGAGGTATATTTTTAGGAAGATCAATTTTAGAGAAAGAAATATTTTGGCTTTTTACTTCTCCGTCGTCATCAATCAATTTCAAAATGTGCAAAAAATAACTTTCAGACACAAACTGAAAGAGAAAACCCCTCACCCCTCTCGAAACAACTAATCTCGAATAAACATTAGATAACACGAAAGAAAGAATACTTTCGAATGTGAACATTCATCAAAAAATTGAA